GACAAAGTTATAAAATATGACCCCAGTTTTATAGTGGTTCGGTCAAACTCGACCTACTCCACTCCCCAAGCGCCTCTTGGGAATTTAAATAAAAAACTTTCTCGACTCTTTCCATGGATCAGAGCCCAACCACTACACCACTCTTTTTACGAGTTCAAGAGAAAACTCAATTCTTTCCACAGTGCAGGATTAAACCGGTACAAGTATTTGAATTTGATAGTAACACACCACAACTCTCTCACATAGTAGATTTACAATTTGGAGCACTCACAACTACTTTCTCATAAAATAAGATGAATAAAAATAAAATTGGAAGCTTGGAAGAGCAACAATGGAGATTTAGACAATTGAAGATGAAGAATGATAACTCTCTAGAAGTAGAGTCATATCAAAGTCTTTTTGTATCTAATATGGCACTCTTATTCACCATTTTCTCATATTTACCCTATTTATCCTACTTAGTGAGCATGAAATCGTTTATTGCGGACCAACATGAAAAAAAATATATGATTTTGCATAAATCGATCTTAATTGTACATTTAATTGAGTTATGTGGTAAAATTTCAGACATTTATGCTTAACCATGATGGAATAGCAAATCTGGATATAAATTGGGGGATGACATGGAAATTTTAAATCCACATCAGCCGTCCAAGTGGGTCATTGATTACCCAATGAGGAACATCCTACGTGGACAACTTATTCCTTTTCAGCCCTAAAGGGGAACCCATGCTCAATATAAAAGGAAAAGGAAGACCAAGAGGAGGGGAGCCACACTTTGGAAGGAAAATCGAATAACACAGCAGCAGCCTCTCCTACAATGAACTACTATGACACCAGAGAAGAAGAAGAAAACCTTAATCCAGTAGCTGTTGACAGCAGAAGGAAAAGGAGACCAACAAGGATTGATTAGGGCAAAGAGGTGGACGTGAGAGCTCAAGAGAAGGGAACTTCCATTGATGAACGGCAAAAAACCGGGATAACTCTCTATTTCCTTATTCTCTTTCTTATTTCATCGATTTTACATGATTGAGATGCGGATTCCTTTGTTTAATTTAGTTTGTATGGAGAGCTAAACTTTATAGGGGAGGCGAGAGAGTTTTATATAGTTTAAGTATGTTGACGGTATGATTTTAGTTTATTAAAGAGTTGTTGTTAACGATTTACATGTGTGTTTAATTATCAACTTTACATACATAGTTGTTCTCTTATTCGGGAGAAGAGAGGGAGCAATGAAATCCTCTTTAATACTCTAGTTCCATAGCAAGGAGACTTGAACGGTAATAGAAGGGTTAGGAATAATTCTTCTCGTTGTTAATAGAAATTACAACGATTATGTAAATAATCACCATTCATGACCCTCGGAAGTGAGCGTGGGAATCTATTAAAAGGAACCAAAATCTACCACAAAACTCAACAACTTATCTATTTAATCTCTTAGCCGAACCTTCCTCATTATAGTTGATTTTCTCATCATTTTTCATTTTTCGACAGTAGTGGCAGGTTTTAGTTTTGTTTAAGTAGTTAAAATCACCAACACCCATTTTAATGTTAACAAAAAAAACTCACTTAATTTCCAAAGATAAAATTAACCAAAAAGATAGGTTTCTTATGGAATCGATAATTTACTTATTACTTGCTACTTGTGATAATGTATACTTGCACTTATTCTTGTGAATTTTACATTATTTTATTATATACATCCACAAGCCATCAAGTTTTTGGCGCCGTTGTCGGGGAACCTAATTTGGTTATTTTACTTGTTGTAGATTTTCGTGAGTTGGAGCCAACAAGAAGCCATAGTATGCTGAATTTTTTGCGGCTATATTTAATGCTGAAGAATTGAGTTTACTATTGCAGAACTGTGTATGAACCCATCTACAGGTTTGGAATTTATTTTGGATCCTGAAATAGAGAGAACATTTAGACGAAGGTTGAAGGAGAAAAAGAAAATGACAGAACAGAAGATACAGCAAATAGAACTTGGAGCCCAGTTGAATCGGGAGTTTGAAAATCCAGCAATGATGGCTAATCAAGAGAGAATTACTGTCAATGCCATTCATTTAGCAGATGACAGAGAAAGAGCGATCCGAGCATATGCACACCCAGCGGTGGAAGAGTTAAATCTGTGCATTATTAGACCCGAAATGCAAGCAACCACGTTTGAGCTAAAGCCCGTAATGTTTCAAATGTTGCAAACCATTGGGCAATTTCATGGACTACCGTCGGAAGATCCCCCCTACACCTAAAGTCATTTTTGGGAGTTAGTGACTCCTTTCGATTTCAAGGAGTGGATAAAGACATGATTAGATTGAGTTTATTCCCTTATTCCTTTAGGGATGGTGCGAAATCATGGTTGAATACCTTAGCACTGAGAACAATTGATTCTTGAAATAGTCTAGTAGAGAAATTTTGATCAAGTATTTTCCACCCACTAGAAAGGCACAGTTAAAAAATGAGATTGTTGCTTTTCAACAGTTTGAAGATGAGACACTAAGTGAAGCTTGGGAGAGATTTAAGGAGATGCTTAGAAAGTGTCCTCACCATGGACTACCTCATTGTATACAAATGGAGACTTTCTACAATTGATTAAATATTGCTACTAAACAAGTAGTTGGTGCTTCCGCCAATGGAGCTATTTTGTCAAAGACATAGAATGAAGCATATGAGATTTTAGAGAGATAGCATCTAACAATTGTCAATGGGCCGATGTGAGAAGCAATCCAGGAAAGAAGACTCAAGGACTACTTGAAGTTGATGCTTTGTCTTCTATCAATGCTCAACTAGCTTCGGTGACTAATATTTTACAAAATCTAGCATTGGGAAAAGACTCCATGATCAAAGCACCAGTCCATACAGCTGCTGTAATTAACCAGACAGCAGCCTAATCTTGTGTATATTGTGGAGAGGAACACACCTTTGATCAATGTCCAATCAATCCGCCCTCAATTTTCTATGTCGGGAATCAAGCTAGTCAAGGCAACCTGAAAAATAATCCCTTCTCAAATACTTATAATCCGGGGTGGAGAAATCATCCAAACTTCTCATGGAAGCGACAAGGCTCATACAACCAACAAATGCCACCTAAAGCAAATTACCCTTCGGGTTTTGGATTGCAAAATCAATTGCCTTATAGTTCTCAACAAGTCAACACTCAAGGGAAAGGAATTAGTCAAGCCCAATACACATTGGGAACATCTATTGAGAGCCTATTAAAGGAATATGTGGCTAAAAATGATATCGTGATACAAAGTCAACAATCCTCATTGAGAAATTTGGAAGTTCAAGTAGGTCAATTGGCAACTGAGTTACGAAATAGACCTCTTGGGAAGCTGCCAGCAACACCAAAACACCAAAAAGAGAAGGCAAAGAGCAATGTCAAGCAATAGAGTTGAGAAGTGGAAAAAAAAATACCTAGCGGGGGAGAAAAAAGTGCAAAACAAGGTGACAGTCATTCGAGTTACAAAATAGACCTCTTGGGAAGCTGCCAGCAACACCAAAACACCAAAAAGAGAAGGCAAAGAGCAATGTCAAGCAATAGAGTTGAGGAGTGGAAAAAAAATACCTAGTAGGGGAGAAAAAAGTGCAAAACAAGGTAACAGTCATTCCCAAGACACTGCTGATACACAGCAGAGAAATGAGGAAGCTTGCTGTACAGAAAAACACAACAAGGATTATGCAGAAATTGAGGAGCAGCCTAAAATACAAACAACTGTCAGCAGTGGACAAGAGAGCAAAACATACAGACCAGCACCTCCTTTTCCACAAAGAATAAAAAGAAAGGAAAAGAAAGCCCATTTTGAGAAGTTTATGGATATTCTGAAGGAAATTCATATAAATATACCACTAGTGGAAGCTTTGAAGCAAATGCCAAATTATGTGAAATTCTTGGAGGATGTATTCACTAATAGAAGGAAGTTTGAAGAATTTAAGGTGGTGTCACTAAATGAAGAATATACTGCAATATTGAAGAACAAGATCCCACTAAAGGAGAAAGACCCTAGGTCGTTCACTATTCCTATATCAATTGGAGGAAAGGAGCTAGGAAGAGCATTATGTGACTTGGGAGCAAGCATCAACTTAATGCCTCTATCCATTTACAAGAAGTTGGGGATTGGAGAGGCTAGACTGACTACAGTCACCTTACAACTAGCCGATAGGTCCATCAATTATCCCGAAGAAAAGATTGAGGACATCTTAATTCAAGTTGACAAATTCATATTTCCAGCAGATTTTATCATTTTAGATTATGAAACCGATCATGATGTACCAATTATTTTTTTTTTTTTTGGGGGGGCATTTTTAAAGACCGGAAGAACATTAGTAGATGTCTACAAAGGAACCATCACGTTAAGAATGGGTGACCAAAAAGTTGAATTTAATATCAATGACAGCAAGAAATATCCAGCAGTGACAGAAGAATGCTCAGCAGTATATGAATTGACAGAACAACAACGACCGAGGAATGGGATGATGGGGAAAGCGAGCAGGAAGAAGACAGCAGCTGGAATGACATAATAGAACAATTCGCAGTTTTAGGTGAATTCAGCAGAACTTTTGAGCCACTAGAATATCAGGGAAGAAAGATTTCGCCAATGAGACCATCTATTGAGGAAGCACTGTAGTTGGACTTGAAACCACTACCGCCTAACCTTAAATATGCTTATTTAGGTGACAGAAAACACTACCCATCATCATCTCAGCGACATTATCTTCGGCTCAAGAGGATATGCTCCTAGAAACATTGAAGAAGCACAAGGGGGCGATAGTGGACCTTAAATATGCTTATTTAGGGTTCACTATGCATGCACAAGATACAATTGAAAGAAGGAAAAGTTAAATTCATTGAGCACCAAAGACAATTAAATCACATGATGAAGGAGATCGTTAGAAAAGAGATTCTCAAATGGCTAGATGCTGGAATAATTTATCCAATTGTAAACAACAGCTGGGTCAATTCTATTCAATGTGTTTCTGTAATACCCGAAGAAAGAGAAATAGAAATTTAAAAAAAAAAAAAAAAAAAAAGGAAAAGTCGAGAGGGGCAAATAGGTAAATTTGCCCCTCCAACCACCTAAGGGGTCCAAACGAAATCCCATCCATAGTCCTGCAAAAGAGAGATAGTGAGAGAAAGGGGTAGAGAGAACCTAGAGAGAGGAGAAAGGATGAACCGTCGGAAGACTCACCGAAAACTACCGTCGGAGTCTATTTCGGTGAAGATCATGATGCAAGGAGGTGAAGATCATGCAGAGAGACTTTCTTGGAAGGGAAAAGAGAATGTGGGTGGCCGGAGTCCCATTTTTCATCAAGAAGTTAGAAAACCCGCAAGGTAAGGATCTTGAACGTTTTCTCAGATCTACGGTTTTCCTTTGTGAATCAAGATCTGAAATCTTGATATATTCATCTAGGAACAACTCTACGCATGATCTGTGAAGAAGTTTGGCCGAGACCTCAACCCGAAGGCAGAGATCCGAGAGTCATTCGAGAACGGTGAGCAAAATTCCGACCTTCTTAACTCGTCCGGTAGTTAAGCGAAAATTACGAAAAAAATACGAGGACGTAGCCCATAACACAATCTAAAACTTTGTCGAAGGAATTATGTCAATTCGATCTACGGATCGAAAGATATGAAAATCAGAAAAGAGGGTTGTGTTTCGGTTTTCAGAGGGCAGAGAAGAAAGAAGAAGAAAAAAAAAAGAGAGAGAGTCGGCCGGTGAGCGGCGACAAGCGCCGGACACGCGTCGACCATCGACTGGAGCAACGCAGCTCCAGCGAGGCGTCGACACATGTCGTTCGCAAGCCGGGCCGAACCGCGACGCGAGCCGAGCCGACTGGACCGGCCGACCCGCGACTACGCGGAGGCGGGCGCGCGTGCAGCCTGCGACTGGCACCTTCCCGCGCGCGTGGCCACGCACTCCCAGCGTGCTGCTGGTGCGTGAGCGCGCGTGGAACGGCCAATTTGGCCCGGTTGTTTTCTGTTTTCCCGATTTTTGTCCCGGTTCCAGTTCTAATACTGTTTTTACGTGAATAGGGACTTAATTTAGAGAAATCAGTATTTTTGGACACCTCACGGGCAAAGAAACGATAGCGAAAGGGCACGCGTCAACCAGGCAAGTCACTACCCGGTATTTAGGAAGAAATACTTGTAGGGTTCGCTTGGATTGTAGGTATGCATGTTAGTAATTTTGCCTTAAATTAGCTCTCCATGAATGAGACTAATTAGATGGATTGTTATGATGGGTTGGGTGAATTATCTGAGTGTTGCTTGTATGCCTTAAGCTTCCGTTGTACGTATGCATGCGTTTAATTTATGTTAGAATTGTGTATGCCGGGTTTCGGGTGCTTGATAGACGAATTCGCCCCATTGAGCGCGAACTTCGTGCTCTGGGTGCTTGATGGAGGTCATCGCCCCGTTGAGCCGGTATGCCTAGTTTGCATGAATTACATACTATGATGTTAGAAGATGATTGCATGCACCCTCTGTTAATTGCTAGGGCCCATTTCTATGATAAGATTAGAGAATTTCTGTTAGGAGCGATATGCCACTCTAGACAGACCTAATTTTCCCCTAGAAACTTAGCGGTTTACCACGGCAAGAAAGTACCTACGAGTGTTCATAAATTGCTTGCGTGAGAACGGTATTTATAGCTTCGTGGGAGGACCAATGGTCCCTGATCAGTCCTTACTACTCTTAGCCATTTCGCATGGGAAATGTGTCCCTACGTCGTACAGCCCATTAGCTGCATGGAACGGGTTGGGTCGCGCCCCCCATAGGAGAACTATATGGGCGTAGGGGTATTCAGCATACCCCTAGGCTAGATACCATGTAGTCCTAGATAGCCATGTAGAGGTAGCGCCTCATAGAGAGATACCGACCATATCAGCTTGGCATAAGGAACCTCTAGGTGACTAATGAAAGGACGATGAACCGGTGAAACCCAAGGGGCAAGCCTCAAGAGACTAAGGTTAGAACCCGACGTCTTAGAACCGAATTAGGAAACCATGGGAGTTCTGTTAAATTAAGATGCGAAGAGAGCCTACAAGTAGGTGGCTTACTGAGTATAATTTTTATACTCATCCCGTTCTCCTTTATTTTTCTCAGGTGTTCGCTGGTTGCTGGTCGAGGTAGAGGAGCGTTTGAGAGCTGTACAGTCACAGAAGGGGTCGTTCCGGAGCATCAGTCCCTTTTCGGTCTTTTAGAGTCTTTCGTATTTCTTTTTATATTTGTAATTTCTTTTGTAATTTCTTTTAATTCAAAGTATTTTTATCTTTCAAAATTGCTTTTCTTTTCTTTTATTTTCCTTTTGTTTGTTTTCGATTTCGTCTTTTTAGTCACGATTCGGTTTTTCGAATCCTCGAAAATCGGGTCTTGACAGTTTCGAAGAAAGGACGGATAACAATAATGAAAAATGAGAACAATAAGTTGATCCCCACTAGAATAGTTAATGGATGGAGAATTTGCATGAATTATAGAAGGCTAAACAAAGCGACACATCATTGCTTCTTGGATGGTTATTCTGGATACAATCAAATTACAATCAGTTCATAAAATCAAAAGAAAACTACATTTACATGCCCATATAGAATTTTTGCCTTTAGACGAATGCCGTTTGGACTATGTAATGCTCCAGCAACATCTCAACGTTGCATGATGGCCATTTTTACAGATATGGTAGAAACATTTATGGAGATATTCGTGGATGACTTTTCGATTTATGGATAATCTTTTGAGACTTGTTTGTGCAATTTGGGGAAGGTTCTACAAAGATGTGAAGAGAAGAATCTTGTATTGAATTGGGAAAATTTTCATTTCATGGTCAATGAGGGAATATTGCTAGGCCACAAGATCTCAAGGAGAGGAATAGAAGTTGATAGAGCCAAGATAGAAGCTATCGAAAGATTGAATCCACCTACGTCAGTTAAAGGTATAAGAAGCTTTTTGGGCCATGTAGGGTTTAATAAGAGATTTCTCAAAAATTGCAAAACCATTGTGTAGTTTGTTGGAGTCAAATAGAAAATTCATTTTTGACAAACAATGCATGACTACCTTCCAAGCATTAAAGACAGCTCTGACCACAACTCCAATAATGTCAACACCCGATTGGGATTCACCATTTGAATTGATGTTAGATGCTAGTGGCCATGCTATGGGGCAATGCTAGGACAGAAAAAGGGGAAGGTACTTCATCTTATCTATTATGCAAGCAAAACGTTGAATGAAGCTCAAGTGAATTATACAACCACTAAAAAAGAATTGTTGGATGTAGTATTCGCTGTTGAAAAATTCAAAGCTTATTTATTTGGAGCGAAGGTGAAAGTGCACACTGACCACACAGTAATCAAGCACCTAATGATGAAATCGAATGCCAAGCCAAGATTAATTAGATGGATTCTACTGTTACAAGAGTTTGAGATAGAAATCGTGGACACAAAAGGAGCTAATAACCACATAGCGGATCACTTATCTAGAATGGAGAACATGGAATAAAATGTCAATAGCAAAGAAGTTGATGATGCATTTTCAGATGAACAGCTACTTGGAATAAACAGCAGTAGTAGAATGACAGCAACTCCATGGTATGCAGACATAGCAAATTTTTTGGCTTGTGCCATCATACCCGAAGAGAAAAATAATCAACAAAGAAAGAGGTTTTTCCATGAATCCAAAAGTTACATTTGGGATTAACCTTTTCTTTTTAAACAATGTGGGGACGACATAATGAGAAAATGCATTCCAGACAACAAAATACCAACAATTCTTGAACAATGTCATGCATCTCCATATGGAGGTCATTTTGGAGGGCAAAGGACAGCAACCAAGGTATTTCAATTGGGTTTCTATTGGCCAACAATTTTTAAAGATACAGAAGAATTTTGCAAGGGTTGTGATCAATGTCAAAGGACAGGAAATATCAGTAAAAAAATGAGCTACCCCTGTCCAAGTGGGTGGAAGCAATAGCTTATCCATCCAACGATGGGAAGACCGTACTCAAGTTTTTAAAAAGAAACATATTCACTAGGTTTGATGTACCAAGAGCATTAATCAGCGATGAGGAAACGCACTTTGTGAACAGATTGATGAATAGTCTTTTAGATAGATAATGTAAAACAGAGTGGCGACACCTTATCATCCACAAACTAATGGACAAGCAGAGGTCTCCAACAGAGAAATTAAAAGTATTTTGAAAAAGGTGGTACAACCCAACAGGAAAGATTGGTCGGTGAAACTTGATGGTGCACTATGGGCATACCGGACAGCTTTCAAAACCCCTTTAGGAGTGTCTCCTTACAAGCTAGTTTTTGGGAAGGCATGTCATCTACCCCTAGAATTGGAACATAAAGCATTTTGGGCATTAAAGAAGTTAAATTTTGACTATGCAACACATAGAGACTTAAGGCGAATGCAACAAATGAGTTGGAAGAATTCAGGCACCTAGTCTACGAAAATGCTAAGATGTACAAAGAAAAAACAAAAATGTGGCATGACAACAAAATAAGGCCCAAGGAATTCTACACAGGACAAAGAGTGTTGCTATTCAACTCAAGGTTGAAATTATTCCCTGGAAAATTAAAATCAAGATGGTCTAATCCGTTTATAGTTGAAGAAGTCACCCCTATAGGGTAATAACCATAAAACATGGCAATGAGAGGAGTCCTTTCATAATGAATGGACAGAGACTAAAGCCCTATTTGGGTGGAGAAGTAAAAAAAGGCGTTGCCTTTTTTAGCTTAAAAAGCTGAAAAATAAAATATTTTGTGGCAAAGGGAGCTAACAAGGGAAGGTAACAGGTAACAAACTCCCAGGAAACCAAGTTAGTTTTCCTCCTCCTTTTATTTATGCACTTATAGTCGTTTTTAAATAGTTGTCTTCAGTTATCTTAGAATGATTTTTTTTTAGATTTTATTTTACTTTTTATCGTGAATGACTCGCATGCCCCAAGGAAGCAACCCATTTTTGGTAGATGAATTAGGAGGATTCTAATATGGTTAAAAAGTTTAATTTCAGAGTAGTAAGGGGGGTTAATTACACTTGGTACATATTAGGTTGTGATTAGTGACAAAGTTATTCTCTTTCGGTGTATGTTACTATAAAGTACCGTGTTCTCCCTCATTTGCATGAATTTGATCTAATTGTTGTACACTTTCTCACAAAACCTCACGTCAAAGCACCAACACAAAAGATATCTGCTGTCAAACAAGAAAAAGGAAAACTTTGAAAAAAAAAATGGCAGCAATATGCCGTCAAACAAAAAAAAATACAACAATTTAATGTTAAAAAAAAAATTACAACAGCCTGCTGTCAAGAAATCACAGCAAGCTGCTATTTAAAAAATATATATATATATATAATAATTACATGTCAAGAAATGACAGCAGACCGCTGTTATACAAAATAGTACAGTAGGCTTCTGTTAAAAAATTTAAATATTTATTACCGCAGTCTGCTCTATTGCTATATAAAAAAAACGAAAAATTTACTTCCACAAGGAGCCATCTTTTGTTTTATATAGAACCTACTTCCACGAGAGATAACCCAACATTGCAAATTCACCTTCACACTTACAAACAACCAAAGATAAAAATTCAGCTTGCAACCGACAATCATGGCACCGAGAACAAGAGGCAAAAAAATGGTGCGAGGGAAGGAAGAAGTGTAGCACGATGAATTACAAGAAATAAATCATGATCTCTTCCTAAAAAGGCACCGGTTCAAAACGAAACGAAAAGGGCAATAACAAAATGGAGAACCTCCCAACACAAAAAGGAATAATCGGAAACGAGGAGGCGTACAACAGGTATGAGCTCCTCAAGTCAAGAGTAGTGTTGGTGGAAAGAAGGTTCCCAGCATTCTACCCTACATTTCCGGAATCCTTTCTTAACGCCATCAACGATCTAGGGTGGGAGATATTCTGTCATCAAAGGGAACAAGCTATAGTGTCGATAGTGAAGGAGTTTTACGCACATATTGATCAAGTGGAAGAGTATGTTGGTTATAAACTTGTTTTTATTATTTGTTTTTTTTATTATTATTTTATTTCTGGTGTTTATTTCTCCATGAAAAAAGGTCAGAAATATTGTAAGTAGGGGAGGAACTAGTTTGTAGGGAATGGAATAGTAGGAGTGGAAGGAGTGGTGGAGTGGTTGATGATTTGTAGCAGAAATAGGTAAATTTTTTAGTATATAAAGAAAATGGTGCCAAGTTCTAAAGACACCACAAAAAAAGAAGAAATAATTTGTGTGTCTTCGTTTATTCTCCCCTTCTGTTGTGTTTTTTTCTTACAATTGGTATCAGAGCGTTAAGATCAAGACCAGTTTTCAATCATGTCTCACTTAGAGATTGAGCGGTCAAGAAGGGAGAGAGATCAAAAAAATGAGACAGGAATCGAGTGACAGGAACCAAAACACCGATGCGATAGAAGGTGATGCCTCACATGAGGTGAGTGTACGGATTCAAGAAAAGGAGGGATCTGTCACACTCAAATACCCGATGCTGACAAAAATGCAACTATGCAGCTTGGGCGATTAAGATGGAGGTATTTATGATGGCACAAGGTGTCTGGGAGGCAATTGAGTCACCCGAAACAGTAGATAACCGTAAAGATAAGATGGCTTTAGCAGCTATTTATTAAAGTATTGGAGAAGATACGTTGCTACAGTTGGGTGCCAAGAAAATGGCCAAGGAAGCCTGGATCATGCTGAAAAACATGAATCTAGGTGCGGAAAGAGTGAAAGAAGTTAGAACGCAGACTCTCTGGCGGGAGTTTGAAGCGTTGAGGATGGGTGATTCAGAAAGTATTGATGAGTATTTTGGAAAACTCACCATTATTGTCAACAAATTGAGAGGCCTCAGCAATACTGTGGATGATATCCAAGTAGTTAAGAAACTTCTACGATCCACCTCTGCAAAGTTTCTTCAAATTACCTCAACGATTGAGGAGTTCAGTGATCTCAAAACGAAATTCGTTGATGAGATTATTGGATCACTCAAGGCACATGAAGAAAGGTTGCAAGGGTTTGGAGAAAAATATGAAACCGTTCTCCTCACTCATGCAGAATGGAAGGAACGAGAGACTGCAAATTCCTCAAAGAAAGAATGGAAGGATCAAGGCAGTTCCAAAGGAGGCCGGGGACGGGGTCGCAAAAGATGGAGAGGCCGTAGGAGAAGTGACTGGCATCGAGGAGATGAAGGAGACTCGCAAACTGAAAAGAAGAGATTTGACAAGAGTAAAATTAAATGTTTCAAGTGTCAGAAAATGGGACACTTCGCATCAGAGTGTTCCACAAAAGACGAACAACTCAACCTGATAGAGATGCAAAAGGATGAGGAATCTTCACTGCTGATGATAGAGGCGTGTGAAATTAAAACCACACATGACAAAGAGCCTAATTTTGTGATGTTGAATGAAACTATAGTGCCGCCACCAGAAAATATTGGAGCTGAAAATTCCTAGTTCCTAGATACTGGAGCAAGCAACCACATGTCAGGAGAAAGGAGGGTGTTTCGTGAGCTCGACACATCTGTTCTTGGAAAGGTACGCTTCAGTGATAACTCTGTAATAGACATTTGTAGTCGAGGAATAGTGCTCTTCAAATGCAAAACGGGTGAGCACTTGATCTTATTGCAAGTCTATTACATACCTAAACTAAAGAGCAATATTATAAGTTTGGGACAACTGGATGAGAGTGGAAATAAAATTGTCATAGAGAACAGTGTGATAAAGATATATGACAGAGCTAGGAGCCTGATTATTATGGTGACCAGACAATCCAACAGATTGTATGTAGTAAAGCTGAAGCTTGCGGATCAGGTGTGTTTAATGACAAATATCAGTAACAGTGGTTGGCTCTGGCACGCGAGGTATGGTCACCTAAATTTTCACTCTTTAAAGCAATTAAATGACAAGAGAATGGTTGAAGGGTTGCCGAGAATCACCCAGGTCAATCAATTATGCGATGGGTGTTTAATTGGAAAGCAGCATAGGACTCCTTTTCCCCGAACAACAACATATCATGCGAAGGAGTCATTAGATCTTCTATTTCGCCAAGTATGGAGGTAACAAATATTTTATGTTACTAGTGGATGATTGTTCACGATTTATGTGGGTGTTTATGTTGAAAAACAAGAATGAAACACTGCTGGTGTTTAAAAAATTCAAGATCAGTGTGGAGGTAGAGAAAGGTAGGAAGATTAAGAGCTTTAGAACGAACCGTGGAGGAGAGTTTGTATCTACTGCTTTTAAAGACTATCGCGAGAATGAAGGCATGAAGAGACTTCTTACTGCACCATTTTCACCACAGCAAAATGGCATAGTAGAAAAGCGTAATCGAACAGTGGTAGAAATGGCCAGATGTATGTTAAAGAGCAAAGAGATGCCTGCAAAATTTTGGGGAGAGGCTATCAAAACTGTCGTGTATATTCTGAACAAATCGCCAACAAAAGGAGTTGCAGATGGTACACCGTATCAAGCTTGGTTTGACAAGATACCAAAGGTTCATCACTTTAAAATCTTCGGGTGTCTTGCTCATGCCAAGAATACATATTCACACCTTCCTAAACTTGTTGATAGGAGTGTGAAGACAATTATGTTGGGATATGAAGATGGAACCAAAGCTTACTAACTATTGGATCCACAAAAGAACAGAATTATGGTGAGCAGGGATGTGGTGTTCGAAGAGGAGAAAAAGTGGTGTTGGGAAGAAATCACAAACGGTGATGATGAACAAAGAGGAACTTTCACCATTCAAATTTTAGAAAAACAGAGTAGAACAGAGGAAAGGAATATTGAAAATATCGAAGTTGATCCAGACGAAAGACAAAGGAAAAATTCGTCCTCAACTTTATCAACATCGGACAGTACCTCAAATGCATCATCGTCAAGCTCATCAACGCCGAAAAAATTCAGGTTTCTAGAAGATATTTATAGAGAACTGAACAAAGTAGAGGAGGAAGCAATGAACCTTTGTTTTCTTTCTATAGAGGAGTCAACCTCATATGAGGAAGCTGCTAAGAATGAAAACTGGAGGAATGCCATGATGTCTGAAATTCTCTCCATCAAAAAGAATAGAACGTGGGAACTCACAGACTTGCCGAAGAATCATAGAGCAATCGACATCAAATAGATTTTCAAATTAAAGAAAAATCCAGATGGAGAAATCATGAAACACAAGGCGAGACTCGTGGCAAAGGGATATGCACAGCAGTTCGATGTAGATTACATCGCACCAGTGGCCAGGTTGGAAACAGTGAGATTAATTTTTGCCTATGCAGCCATTAAGAACTAGGAAGTACATCATATGGATGTAAAGACAGCTTTTCCGAATGGCGAGTTAGAAGAGGAGGTGTATGTTGTTCAACCAGAAGGGTTCGTTGACAAAGAAAATCCAAACATGGTGTTAAAACTACGTAAAGCCTTGTATGGATTAAAACAGACTCCGAGGGCCTGGAATTTTAAACTTGATCAATGTTTGCAATCACTTGATTTTGTTAGATGTCCACAGGAATATGCTATGTACAAGAAAATTAATGGAGTTGAAGCAATGATAATCGGCACATATGTGGATGACTTAATCATAGCCGGTTCAAACAAACAAGTTATAGTTGAGTTCAAGGAAGAGATGCACCAGAAATTTGAGATGAGCGATCTTGGACTTTTGAGCTATTACTTGGGTATTGAGGTACGACAAAGCAGTGAATCAATCACTTTATGTTAGGCTGGATATACAAGAAAAATCCTAGAGAAGCTAGGAATGGGGGAGTGCAATCCTTGTTCGATTCCCATGGAACCAAGAATGAAGATGAGCAAGCGTGGAAATGGAGAACCTGCGGTTGACAAAACACTTTACAGAACTGTTATTGGAAGCTTACGCTATCTAGTTAATACCCGGCCCGACATAGCCTACTCAGTTTGTGTGATGAGTAGATACATGGAGACACCAACAACTTCACATCTCACAGCAGTAAAACAAATATTGAGGTATGTGAAAGGTACTCTAAGTTTTGGCTGCGTTTATAAGAAGCTATCGAATGTGGAGTTGGTAGGATTTAGCAACAGTGATATGGCTGGGGATATTGATGATAGGAAGAGTACAACTGGAGTGTTGTACTATTTGGGAGTAAATCCAATAACCTGGATATCACAGAAGCAAAAGGTGGTGGCTTTGTCATCATGCGAGGCTGAGTATATAGCCGCAACTGCTAGAACATGTCAAGGAGTATGGTTGGGCAAGATTTTGAGTAACATCAGTCAACTTCCAGTAAAACCCAAGCTTAATGTTGACAACAAGTCAGTTATAGCATTGGCGAAAAATCCTGTTTACCATGATCGAAGTAAACACATTGATACCAGATTCCATTTTATTCGCCAATGTGTACAAACTGAAGCTATTGAATTGGACTATGTGAACACAGATGAACAGTTTGCGGATATTCTGACAAAGTCGTTAGCAAGACAACGGTTTCTGGAGTTAAGAGAGAAGATTGGCTTGAAGAAAGTCGATTCAACATAATTAAACAAGTTTAGAGGAGTGATTGTTGGTTATAAACTTGTTTTTATTATTTTTATTATTATTATTATTTTATTTCTGGTGTTTATTTCTCCATGAAAAAAGATTGGAAATATTGTAAGTAGGGGAAGGAACTAGTTTGTAGGGAGTGGAATAGTAGGGGTGGAAGGAGTGGTGGAGTGGTTACTGATTTGTAGCAGAAATAGGTAAATTTTTTAGTATATAAAGAAAATGGTGTCAAGTTCTAAAGACACCATAAAAAAAGAAGAAATAATTTGTGTGTCTTCGTTTATTCTCCCCTTTTGTTGCGTTTTTTTTTTTTACAGAGTATGCAAGTAAGAGTAAAAATAGTTGATTAGAGCCCTAAAGCCATCAACCAACTGTTTCACCTAAAATCTTTTGAGCACGCCATCTTCAACGAAATGGTGCTAGCTACATCGGATGATCAACTTGAGATGGTCTTGAAGATGGTAGCCATAGAAGGAACATGGTGGCAACTCTTGAGAGGAGGAGCAAGGACGATAATAGCAGCAAACCTCAACCCTGGTGCAAAAGTTCGGGCTGCCTTCGTAAAAACCAACTTACTACCCACTACACATGATACTACATTGTTAGCTGACAGAGTTTTACTGGTGTATGCAATCATAATGAATTTGAGCATCGATGTGGGCAAGATCGCAGCAGATGAGATTGTCAAATATGCAAGTAAAAAAGTGGGGAGACTGTTTTTACCACAGCTAATAACCATGCTGTACTTGGAGGCTGCAGTCCCTTTTGATGAGGAAGAAGAAAAACTTGAGGCAAGAAATTTGATGGACTACATAGAAACCCATAGGAATGGTGCTAGCAGTGGTAAGAGGAGGGACAGCAGAACAACAGACGATATGGATCAATTGCTGAAACAGCAAGAGACTTTACTCAGCTGGTGCGAAAACAATGAAGGAAGTTGCAAGGCGTGTTGGTCTTATGTCAAAAAGATGGATGAGGAAATATATAAAGTCTTAAGTACCAAGTCCAAAAATTCATCATTCTCAAGTTTTCCAAAAAAGATTTTTTAAAGAGTGGAGCCGTAAAGAATCATCGCATGTGGTATAGGAGGAAGAGAACACTTCCTCTAACGATGCCTAAAATCAAGGGAATTCTCTTATCACACCCTTTATAACCTTGCTGTCTGATTTAGAAACATACATCCTTATGTTGTATTTGTTTTTATTGTGTTTGTTTTGTTGTGTTGAGTGCATATAATTTTGAATCATGCACATGCATGCACCCTAGAAACATGAAGTTTTAGGAAGGGTAATAGATCATGCATTTTTTTTCATATGTAGTCATGATGTTTTGCGCAAGAACTAGTGTCAAATGCTTTAATGGATAAATAAAACAGTAAGGCAACTGGTGTATTTTTCTAAAAGAACAAAAGGGGTTAAGGAAATTGAAGCTCAAATTGAAGAGTATTCATCAAAGTTAAGGTGAGGATCCAATCTATCATAATCTACGTTAATCAAAAAGAATTCCCATAATTCACCCAACTTTAAACAATTTTTCCAACAAAAACAATAACCAAGAGCTTCTACAACTCAATCTGCTTTCAAGAATGATTCCACACCCACACTAATGCTCATTGAGAACAATGACTAGTTTAAGTTTGGGGGTATTAAAGCAATTTCATCGCCCCATACAAAATTTAAAAAAAACGAAAAAAAAATTCATACCCGAGACCACTGCTCTTCAACCTAAAGCTTGAACTCTCAATAAGGAAAAAAAAAAAACTATCCTTATTGTTCGGGTGAGTTGCATCACAAATGTGGCCACACTGAAAACTACAAGATGCTAGCAAAAGAGTTGAGCTAAGGGAGAATGAGTGTTAGCCTATATAGTCATCCCTTGAAAATTTAGGTAATTTGTACCCCAAGTGGATGCATCCAGAGTATAGGGGGATGACTTAGAA